AGTCTACTGTCTGGAAATCGGGCGTGAAAATAATAGTACCAACAAATTAATGTCAATAACTGTTCAGCACAATCACACGGAACTTGAAGTAAACAGGTACTACCCGACGAACATCCACAATAGCTGCCGATCACGTGACCCGGAGTTACCATAGAGCGCTGGCTTTTACAACGTCATGTGATAAACAAAATAGCACGAGCAACAACAAACCTCACCGCGGCATATTTACTGGCTATGGGCTTTCTTTTCTAGGCTACCGCTATTACATGTCACTTCTGCGACAATCTCGCATATGAGTTTCCTGGTTTCGATCCAACGTTGACGGATGATAACAGGGCGACCACACTGTGACTGACATTGCCATGACGGAACGATCGACGACGGCGCTGCCCCATATTTTACGGGAATATAAAGCGGAGTACAACCAAGCCGCTGACTGTAGGTAAGACTGCTAGTATTTTTTTCACAATGACAATGGTCTTTTCCTTTTTACACATACTCGCTGTAAACCTGCATAACCTCTCGTTGGTAAATTGGCTACTCATATTGTTTCTGTAGCCTGACTGCCCTCTGTCAGCGATGTAATTACGTTCTTGTATTCATGTTGTTGAACAATAGTATTTCTAGTTTTATTAATTGAACAACATGTAAGGGCGATTTGTTTCAAACTCAGGTCGCTATTTGTGGTGTGATACATTGTTCACTCTTCGTCGGTATTGTGCATCACTATGTGGCGGCATTTTAATACTGAAGTGTATTGTGTTAGCGTCGGTAAACCATACCTCAATGGGTAAACCAATTTAAAAATAAAATGTTACAATTTTGTTGTCATTCATTTTGCTACATTTTGACAGCTTCTATAATAACCACTTAATTTCGCCGATAATTACGTAATTATTATGCTCTGATCATCGCTTTTCAAAAGTGTGATTCTCCGCTTTCATGTAAAAAACGGAATTTTCCTACATGGAAAAAACCCTGGAGCGTTCCCGAGTAATTTTGAAAATTTCCGAATACTGTCACATACACATAGTCGATAAAGGAGATGATTCGTAACGGCTAATGTTACACTGGCAGGCAGCGAGTAACTTAACAGGTGAAACCCTATCGGTAACCCTCCCCGTGCCGACGACTTTGTCTCATCTGGATTGTCACAATTAATCTTTATGTCTTTATTGTTTTATATTATAAACAAACCAATACTAATATTTGGCGCTGTCGGTAATACTACAGCCAATCAATGACTTGTTGTTGTACGCTTTCCCCTATCCAAAATGGCCGCTGTTTATTTCCGTGAAAAAAAACGAAATAAAAACAGTACACTGAACGAAGAGTGCGGGGCAGTAGTCCCAACGAGTATATTTGGCAATCCTGCAGGCATTAATTTTATTGGTTAATCAATTTTATGTCATTATGTTTCTCACTAAATAGTTTTGTTAACAGCAATTACAGAAACTAAAAATAAAAGTAGTGTTGCTTACATACTTAATATTTACGCTGTTCCAAATACATATTGATAAGCAAACTCACAATGCAACAAATGCAATCCCTTCATCTTTATAAATATTACGAAATCGCACAATTCAAATTAAACCAAGAGTTTTTTTTTGGCCAAATGAACAGAATTGCAACATTTTGAAATGATTTTTTGCATACTGTGTTGATTGGTTGGTTGGATTCAACTGCTATTGAAATTTATAAATATTTATAAAGATGAAGGAAATACCTTTCTTGCACCAAGAGTACTTGATATAGTATGGTTCACATTGATGATAACACTACCCTATACCCTGAATTTATATAACAAACTCATCAGGAATATTTTACATTAACAATTCATTGTCATTTATA